TCTTCTTCTTCGATTCGAGGACGTAAGAGTGTGAATTCTCCCGGCGGTGACCTCACTCACGCGTAAGTAACGATCTTTCGTGTTCCCGTTCCGCTCGTTGCGGGAGGAAAATTTCGAAGAACTCGGGTCGAGTCGACGATCTTTCGTTCGAGGTATTCCAACCGGAATCTCTTTTTCCTCCGCCGAAAGAATGGGATTCGCGGTCGATTTTGCAAAGTAAACGATACCTTTGGGTGTCGTCGTCCCGATACACCCGTTTCTCCAAGATTTCCCGGTTTGCGATCTAATTGCGACCACTTTGCTCTCCGAAATCCGCCGTTAATCGGATCGAATTATCCCCCAACGGGGTCGAGATCGCTTCGAACGAAGGCTAAACCTACGATTCGATTGGAAAAAAAGAAAAGAAAAGAAAGGAAAGGAAAGAAGACCGTTTCCTTTGAAAGGAAACTAAAGGAAGGAAGGGAGAACGAGAATTAAAGATCGAAGATCGGGGAAGGAACGAACGAGTTGGAAAAACAATGGAGTCACTCCTCTCCCCTCTAGATGGAGAGAAGGAAGATTGCAGGATCGTGGAAAGCCTCTCCTCGATCGAGATCCGCGCGTAAGAGTCGAGGAACGTTAACTCGAGATTGGGAAGTTCAGCCGATCGTGTGATTACATTGGCTGGCCGAGTATCGTATCGAGCTAAAAGGAAATCGAGGAGTAAGGGGTCGATGCACGAGCCGTGTCCTCGTCACAGACGTCTTCCATTCGCCGATAATGCGGAGGAGGGATCGAGAAGCGACAATTTAAAGGAATTTCGGAACCCTGTGCGACGAATCCCGGCCGAATTGGAAATTATAAAAGAGAGGAGTTGGAAAATCCATCGAGAACGTTGCGCGATTCTGGAAAGAAGAGGGAAACATAGATACAAAGATCGGCGTTAATTAATTTGTCCAGGCATCTGGTTGAGCAAGAGATCGAAAGACAAAGCGAGGTATCCGTTCGATCCGTGACGGATACCCGCGAAACAGAGGGACAGACGCTCGGTCGGGGATAGCCACTCCGGTATTTCCCTTTTGCGGCCTGCCCCTCCACCCCTTTAAATCCCGACGGCAACGCCGTACGACCAGTCTCTTGGCTGCTCGACAAATTAATCGGTCCCAATGGTACGCCAATTCCGAGGATTCCGGCCCGCCCGTCCATGCTTCTCCTCCTCCGATCGATCGGATCTACCTTAACGGATATCCGCCCCCTCTTTCGCCCGCCGAATCTTCTCCCTTCGCTTTTCATCGATCCCGTGCAATTAACTGCGACGCGCCAACAACGCCCTCTCCTATCGATCCCCGATCATCCCTCCCGACCAACCACCCCTTCGATCGTTCCACTCGTTCCATTCGTTCCTCCCAGTCGTCGGCCTACTAGCATCGTAGATCGGTAAATATAAGCATACGAATCTAACTCGAATCGAACCTAAGACTAAGTTTCGCCGCGCTCTTGATAAAAGTCCTAGAGGCGATAGCTCCCATTCGAATACGTTTCGCGTAGCATCCACGACTTCTCGAAAAGCTTCTCGTGTCTTTCTACGTGCGTTTCGCGTAGAAGAACTTTGGAAGAGGAAGCTTCGAGTAGAACGCGCGATTTCTCTCTTTTCGAATTATCGCGAAAGGGTAAATAAAAAGGGGTCTCGCGGTTTCAGGGTCGAAAGTTCGGACGCTAACGGGGATGGCTATTCGGAGGGTATGCAGGGTAGGGAGAGGATACGAAGTAGGGGCAAGTGTCTGAGGCATACGTTATGTTAAGTCGGCTATTAGAGGAGTGAAATATGGTTCGCGTGCCTTAGTCAGTTAGAGGAGAAGCCACCTCTCTCTCTCTGTCTCTCCTTCACTTGCGAGACAAACGGCGCGAACCTCGAGAAGATCCCCACTTATTTCCAATACTCCGACAACTGTTAATTGGTACCGCGATGGATTTGTTCCCTTCCTTCTCTTTCGCTCACAGGACCCTCCCATTTAAAGAACGAGGGAGAAATGGTTCCCTCGCACCTCGAGGACACGTCGATAGAACCGGATTCCATCGACGCGATCGATTCGAACGTCATCGAATTTTTCCAGCCAATCTCAGGACGCGGGAGGAAACGTGGAGGGATCGGATCCTGTGTGTGTACACGCTCTTCCGTCGATTCCGCTTAATTGGCGGGAGCGTGGATCGGATTCCGGGGCGAAGGATATATCTGGTTTCAGTCACATCTGCTCTACACAACCACCTCGATCGGTAAGAGAGAGGGGGAGACTGCCGTGCCAAGAGGATTCTCGGTTATTGATATCGGGAAACAGGTTGGCCGTTCCTCCGTCGATCGTAATCGAATGAAACGGTGGAGAGGTGAACGATGAAGTAGGAGAGCGGTCGTCGAGAATTCCGGAAGACGTCTCTATTATTTATCGTTCTTAATGCTCGTCCAGGCAGCGCAGGGTGGGGAAGGAGGGGGACTCGAAGGTTACTCGAACGGAAACGGAGGCGAAACGAAGGAATAACGAAACTTTGAACCGTGGTTATACGCGGGGAATTTAATTTCATTCGTCGCTTAACCGCGACAACTCGAACGTTTCGTCGCGAGTTTAGATTAGTTCTCCCCGGCGGTGAATATTTTTATCGCGGTCGTTATATCACCGTCAAGGATTCAAGGAGATTGGAACACGTCTTTTGATTAAAAAAAGGAAAAGAAAAAAAAAAAAATCGAAAATCTTACTCCTCCATTTCTTTTTTCCATCTTCTTTTCCTTCTTCCTTTTCCGGAGGGAGGAGATAGTTTGATTCAACAGCGATCGAGTTTCACGGCGAGTCGCGACGAGAGAAATTTTATTCGGGTAACGACGGGACCGCGATCGAGGCTGCAATCTGCGATATCTTTTTTAATAATAATCCCTTTTTCTCTTTGCACGAAAGCGTCTGCTCGCGAAAGATAATAAAGTCATCCTCCCTCCGGTTTCCACCGGTTTTCTTTTCGCCTCGCCTCGGATCGTCGTTCCCCACTTTTAACTCCTCCAAATGGGGATCGCCATCTTCTCCTGTTATTAGCAGTTCCAACTTATCCCTCTCTCTCTCTCTCTCCTCCATTTTCCTCCATTCGTTCGTTCGCCCCCCATCCCCTTCCCTCTCATGGCCGACGTCCTCGAAAAGTAATTCGGCCGCTCGCCGTATTTCAATAATACGAAGAAAATCATCGTAATTTCGCAGTCGAGACGTCCCGTTCATGAATCACAATTATCCCTCTCTCTCTCCCACTCTTATCCCTCTAATTGTTTTGTTGAACTCTCGTTAACCCCTTCCACCCTCGCCTTACCTCGAGGAGCGGGGGAGGAGGAGGAGGAGGAGGGGGGCGAGAACGCGAATCGAAATTTCCTTGTTTCGCGGCTTAACCACGGTTTCGGGGTTAAACGTTTCTGAGATGAATCTTTAAACATCCGCATAAATAAGGGACGAATATTTCCCTTCTTCTTCGGCGAAATGAAAGTTTCATGGCTAATTCAATTATTCATCGGGATAACGATAAATAGCGAGCGAGTGGAATAACACGAGTGTATCTCGTTTCGTTCGTTGGGCTGAATTTCAAATCCACCATCGATCGAGAAAATAATAGGCTCGAGCTATCCCTCTCCCCACCCCTCCTTCTCGAAAGCCTCTAAAGAAGAGAGGCGACTCGTCTCTCTCTCTCTCTCTCTCTCCCTCTCTACTCGAGGAAACTTAATGAATTCGCCGGGTCCAACGCAAATATTTTACTTTCCGCGAATATTATAACAAATTCAAATCCGGATCTTGAGAGCGGGCCAATCGGTCTTCGCACATAAATTTTCTCCTAATTACGCGCAAATTATTCGACTATATAATAACCCAGCGATTGTACAGGTCTTCGACCGAAACTTCTCGTCGAAACTTTTGAGTCATCGGTCGATCGTCGCTCCAACCCCCTCTCTCTCTCTTAAAACAACTTACGAATCACCGTCCAACTATCTCGCAAGATCAGCTTTGCGAAACTTTCTTTCTTTTATCCAGCTATGTCACTCGAAAATCGAATTATCACTCTGTATCCCGAACAAATTCAATTCCATCCCACTCCAAACAAACAGACCCTTCCCCGCTTAGGAACCTCGTCACACGCAAAGATCGAATCGCGTCCTCGATTAGAGCAAAGGAAAAAAAGAGGAGGGAGGAGAGAGAAAGAGATAAAATCCCTTCTCGATCCTAACCTTTCCCTCTTATCTCTCTCCTCCTGCCCCTCCTCTCGATTCTCGATTCTCATTTCGTACTCG